ATCGGCACCCTGGGCTCCCGCTGTCGTTTCTGCTGCAACCATGGCTCCTCCCCCTCAGAATGGGCCTGATGGCTCATCACTTGTACGCCGCCCTGTCTTTTGTCTTTCTACAAGGCTGACCACATCAGAAACCCGTCTCGTCGCTGAGGGCCAAGTTCGAGAACATGAACAAGAATGGCGAATCTGCCGCCGCGCCTGGTCCCTCCCCGCCCCGAACCATCTCTCCGGCCCCGAAGCCAGAGTTCCTTCGAGATGCGAAAGCCTCCTCCGAAAGCCTCCAAAGCCTCCCAGTTCCCCCGAGACCTCGTGAGCGCCCGAGCATCTCGGCACCGTCACTCCCACCTCCTCTGCACGAGCCCGTCCCTCGCTCGCCCGGCCGCTCCCTCGGGGTTCCTCCCACCTTGAAACCGGAGCCGATCAAGGCTCCCTCGGTCCTGGTAGAACCGCCTCAGTCACCGCCCAAGAACTCCATCTCGAGATTCTCCATCGCCGAGGCACCGGCCTTCTTAAACGCCGCCGACTCCGGCTCGTCCACCCCCACAACGCCAACCACCTCACGAGCCTTCAAGATCCCAAGTCGGCCGCACACCCCTTCGCTCGATCCGCGACGTTCACCGAGGTTGTCTGCTTCACAGCCGCCTTCACCACCGCCGCCGAGACGATCTGGCGAGATACGAAGGGACAACAAGCCCGCCGTGCCCCCGCCAATCAACCGTGCCGAAAAGCCGTCGATGCGAGACCAGCCAAAGGCCCCTTACTACGCAGATCACCAAATCGGGGCTGCTGAATTCAGGGGCAAGCTCAGGGAAGAGACGTCTCCCTTTAGCAGCCCGCCTGGAAGCCCCGACAGTATCCACGAACCGGCCCCTCCCACGCTGCCCACCAGGCCAAAGGCGCTCGCAACGCTGACGGAACCACCGCCGCCCCAGAGAGGCAGACCGATAGATGTCGGGTTCGCGCCGCCCCCCGTTCATCATTCCATCATGACCAAGAGGAACCAGCGGGAGCAGGAGACGAATGGATTCATCAGGGGTCAGATCACTCCGCAGATTACGGGTGACCGGCCCAGTGTACCCGCTCTTCCCGCGAGGCCGCAGACCGTTGCGGAGCCTCCGCCGCGGCCGCCAGTCACGATGAAACCGCCTCCGCGACCTCCAAGGGCAGGCGGCATCAACACCCACGTCGCCAGCCACTCCGTCAGCCATTCGGTCGACTTCCAGCCCCCGCCCAAGCGAATCGTCTCGACCCCGACAACAACACATCTTCCGCCGCCATCACGGCTACCGGGGCGTGCGAATACAGTCACGGACCGGACGTCACCGCGGCCGCCGCCCCCTCAACCACCTCAGCCCGTTCAGCATGTTCAGCATGTTCAGCCTGCGCAGCCCCCACCACCACCCGAGCCGACTGTCTCTCTGATTCCCTCCAGCAACACATCAAAGGTCGAGATCAACGGCAACATACCAAATTTCCCGGACCCCGCAAACGTCAACCGACGACCGCCCTACATAAAACACGGCATGCACGAAATCCAGACCAAGTACGATCCGAGAACGTTTGACGTGTGCGGCGATCTCATCTGCACCACGGGCCACCTGACACGAGTGTGGAACCTCCGGGACGGCGAGTTGTTGATGAGTTTTGCTCACGGCGAAGGTATCAAGGCTACAACTGTGGCTTTCAAACCCGGCTTGAATGTGGACGAGGAAGGAAAGAGGCTGTGGATTGGCAATAACTTTGGCGAGCTGATGGAAGCCGACATTGCGACGCAAAGCGTGGTAGCGAACAAGCCAGGGGCTCACGGTCGGCACGAGGTTGTCAAAATTTACCGCCACTTCAACGAGATGTGGTCGTTGGATGAGAACGGCGGCTTGCTCGTCTGGGCCGCAGATGAAGAGACTGGGACACCGAATCTGACCAACAACGCGCACCAAGCGTTCCGCCTACCCAAGGGCCACTCCTTCTCAATGGTTGTCGGAGACGAGCTATGGCATGCGACAGGCAAAGAGATCCGCGTCTTTGCGCCATCGTCAGACGGACAAACCCAATTCCAAGTGTTGGTCCGCGCTCTGGCTCAGGACACGGCGGGCGAAGTGACGTCGGGAACCCAAGTGCGGTCACAACCAAACAAGCTATTCTTTGGCCACGCCGATGGCAAGGTATCCATTTACAACACGCAGGACTTTTCGTGTCTGGGCCTTGTCAACTTGAGTTCGTGGAAGATCAACTCTCTTGCGGGGGTTGGCGATCACCTCTGGGCAGGCTTCAACACTGGCAAGATTGGTGTCTATGACATGGAGCCCACGCCCTGGGCACAGAAGAAGGACTGGCAGGCGCACGAGAAGAACCCCGTCGTGAAGCTCGTCTCGGATGCATCGAGTTGTTATAGGCTGGATCGCCACCAGGTCATCTCTCTCGGCGCTGACAACATGCTCCGCGTTTGGGACGGCTTGCTGCAGGACGACTGGCACGAGGCCGAGATGAAGGCCATGGACACGCAGTACTGCGAGTTCCAGGATCTCAAGGTGCTGTGCATGACGTGGAACGCGGGTGCTTCAACACCCCACAGCCTGCGATACGCGCAAGAAGATGCCGAGTTCATCAAGAGCCTGCTCACGTCCAACAGTTCGCCAGACATTTTAATCTTTGGGTTCCAGGAGCTGGTGGACCTGGAAGACAAAACCGCAACAGCTAGTAGGTAACCCCACCCCCGATCAGAAATCAAGCTAACCCCAGAAGAACGCTTCCTCAAGGTGAAGAAGAAGGAGGGTTCGGACCAGGAGCGCATGAGCCATCAGTATCGCGACTGGAGAGACTTCCTCCTCAAGAGCCTCGACGATTACATGCCTCCGGACTGTCTGTATCACCTGCTCCACACTGCCACGCTCGTTGGGCTGTTCACTTGCATCTTTGTCAAGTCGACGCTTAGAGATCGGATCCAGAACCTCAGCGCGGCAGAAGTCAAGCGAGGCATGGGAGGTCTGCACGGCAACAAGGGCGCCATCGTCGTGCGGTTCATGGTGGACGACTCGTCCATGTGCTTCATCAACTGTCACTTGGCCGCGGGTCAGTCGCAGGCCAACAGTCGCCACAACGACATCGCCGCCATCCTCGAAGCACAAATCCTGCCGCCCGAGCGAGACCCCAGCGCTCGCCTCGACAGCTATGTCGGCGGCGGGGACGGCACCATGATCTTGGACCACGAGCTGTGTCTACTGAACGGCGATCTGAACTACCGCATCGACACCATGTCGCGCGATACGGTCGTCATCGCAGTGAAGCAGAACAACCTCGCCAAGCTTCTCGAGCGAGACCAACTTCTCGTGGCCAGGCGCCGCAACCCTGCCTTTAAGCTCCGCGCGTTTGAAGAGATGCCCATTACCTTTGCACCGACGTACAAGTACGACGTCGGAACCGACAATTACGACACGAGCGAGAAGAAGCGTTCACCCGCGTGGTGCGATCGGCTGCTCTATCGTGGTGGTGGCAGGATCAAGCAGGTGGACTACAAACGACACGAAGTCCGCGTTTCTGACCATCGACCCGTTACGGGCAGATTCAAGTTTACGGTCAAGAAGATCCAGCCCAAGGCGCGGGCGATGGCATGGATGGACTGCCAGCAGAGATTCGAGGACCTCAAATGGACCGAGGTCGACAATGACAAGTGAGTGATGTTGGATTCGGGAGGATGGACTTCGTACTGACCATGTCTAGGATGGCATACCTGACGAATGTCATTGGCTATGACGAAGCCACGGCGCGGAGCATCATCCGTCCTGAATCGGCCGCGTGAGCAGCTCGAGTCGTTCGACTTTGACGCCATTAGCGTTTCCGGGAGAGAGATGTGTAACCGGATCACACGACGTACAGACGACTATTCTCGGTCAAGGGGGGTTAATTAGATGACGGGATCAGCATGAAGTCGGATGAAGCACAAGGTTCATGAATGGCGGGATGGCCTTGGAGGGCATTTTTAACGTAACGAATGGGCCTGGAGGCCGGAAAAAAAGGGAATCACGAAAGGAGCGGGTGGATCGCATGATGCAAAACCAAAAACACACTCTTGAAGCGTCCCACGACTTTTTTTCATTTTGGCATTTAATGGCGTAGCTTAGACAGAGAGAGAGAGACACAGAGAGCAAGAGAAGCTTTTGGGGTTTGCACCCATCACGATACGACGTAGGAGAGAGCCTTTCTGGCGCAAAATCGTAGCGTGTGCTGGCCACCGAGTAGATAGGGGGGGATAAGGGGGTTCAATCGGTGACGGCGACGGGCATCGAATTACTCGAAAGCGGTAATGAGAAAGAAAGATCAATCCAACATGTCGCATGCGCGTGTGTCGTTGATGTTGTAGCAATGTTGAGATGCTGTATATTGTAACGTTTGGCCAAGACTTTTGGGGGCCGCAACTGCCTCACGCCCATCCTGCCATGCATAAGTAGACCCAGATCACTGGCTGCAGCCTGCGGCTAAGGCTGCGAGCACAAGTGCGGCGAGGTGTGTGTGTGTGTGTGTTGCGTACCTTGCATACGGTGGGCTTTGTCCTGACGTCGAGGGTTGCATGAGTGCTGGCGAGTCAGCGGGCTTTTTCGGTTTTTTATGTTGCCGCGTCACGACGTTGGAATTTTCATGTCACGACGTTTAGTTTCGGTGATACGTTGGCGGGTGAGACACAGACAGAGACAGACACATGGGCACAGAGGCGAGTTAGCTTGGCAACGACTTTGTTTGGCCCGTGATAAAAAAAAAACTGTATTATTCCCAACCATATATGTTCCATCGAAGCTGACAGGCGAGAGGTAGTACCCTCAGAAGTGAATGGACTACATTTCTACAATGCGTGCTGTTGGGCCGGAGTTTCTTTTTCTCTCTCTCTCCAAGATTTGTCTCCAAGTCTATTGTTTTTTATTGTTTCCCTTTTTCTGTATCTTCCCATTTCCTAGTCTCGAATTCCAAACGAAGTAGACGACAAACACTCCCGGGCAAAACGTCAACGAACCCTACATGTTGAGCAGGGCCTTGGCGCCGGGCTCGCTGCAGACGTACAGGACGTCGTGCGAGTCGGGGAAGCCGTTGAACTTTGTGGCGGAGCATTTGGTGTAGGCGCCCATGTCCTCAAAGTAGAGCCAGTCGCCGACGTCGAGCTCGTGCTCAAACGAGATCGTCTCGGTGATGCGGTCAATGCCGTCGCAGGTGGGGCCCCAGACGGAGTAGCGGATGCCCTCGCCGTCCGGGCAGGCGTTGGCGGCGCTGGTGTCGTACATTGTGACGGGACCGGTGCGGAGGACCTTGGCGACGGGGTGCTGGTGGTCAAACATGATGCTGGAAAAGTTGCCGTAGAGGCCGTCGTTGACGTAGACCATGTAGCGCTTCTCGCCGAGGGACGGGTCGTCGACGGTGCGGCGGGCAATGATGTTGCAGGCGATGGTGAAGGCGGCCGAGACGTAGTAGCGGCCCGGCTCGGCAATGATGTTGACGTTGCTGCTGGCGGGGAAGTACTCGTCGAGGGCGCCGCGGAGGACGGCGGCCATGTCCTCAAAGGTGTCGCCGCAGAAGCCGCCGCCAATGTCGAGCGTCTTCATCTCGAAGCCGTAGGCGCGCCCCTGCTCAAAGACCTCGTAGGCGTCGTAGACGGCCTTGTAAAAGGCCATGGGGTCGGAGGCGCCGGACCCGACGTGGAAGCTGACGCCGACGACGTTGAGGCCGAGGTCCTTTGCGACGCCGAGGAGCTCGTTGGTAGCCTCCTTGGCGGCGCCGAACTTCATGCTCAGGCGGCACAGGCTCGACTCGTCGTCGGTCATGATGCGCAGGTACAGCTCGGCCTCGGGGAAGAGCTTGGCGATCTTGCGCAGCTCGTCGGCGTTGTCAAAGGTCATTTGCTTGACGCCCATGGCCTTGACGTGGCGGACGTACGAGTTGGTCTTGCAGGGCTGGGCGTAGATGATGCGCTCGGGGGCGGTGCCCATGCTGAGGACCTGGTCAATCTCCGTCTTGGAGGCGCAGTCGAAGCCGGTGCCGAGGGCAGCGAGGAGCTGCAGGACCTTGGGGTCGGGGTTGCACTTGACGGCTGCGCGGGTTAGCCAGGAACATCTCGGGGGGGATCAGGGGAACTCACCATAAAAGGGCTTGACGCGCGGCAGGTTGAGCTTCCAGCGCATGTGCTGGCGGTAGACCTCGCCGAGATCACCGACGAAGAAGGTGTCTTCGTCGCCTGGTTCACAAATCTCATGGTCGATGCTCTCGACACGCTGGCGGAGAGCATCGCCAATCAGCTGCTTGGGGTTGATCACTCCATGTTTGACGGGGTGATCGGCAAAGTGCGATGTTTTGAGGATCGGTTGGTGGTAGGTACTAGCATAATTGATAGTAGCTGGTGCAAAATGCTCGATCGCGGCTGTTGCCATAACCATATCCAAGCGGTTGACGGGGTGGTGGTGATAAGTTGAAGAGAGGTGTGTGGGTGGGTGGTCGGTCTGTGTTTCGACGCGTGGGCAGAATCAAACTTCTTGATACTGTCCCTGGTGGGTTGATAAAAAAGCTAGAACAACACGAGAGTTCTAGGGTGGTCGAAAGCGGTAGCAGACAGATCCCTCAGTGATCTGACGAGGTCTTCTCGACTCCCCCTCGGCGAGAGGAAGAGCTGCAGAGCCCGTCTTATGCGGCAGCTGGTTGGGGGTGGGGTTGGACGGGGGCGTCTGGTGAAGCAAACCGTCGAGGAGAAAGAACTCGAGCTTCTGCTTAGACGACTGCAGGCGGTGGAGGGGGGATGGCGTTGACAATGTGTCGAGTCTTTCGTACGCTGAAATCTTGGTCACTGACGAAGCTCACGGCCAGAGAAGCCGTGTTGGGCTGTGGTGCCTTTGAGTTGACCAAAGGCTAAGTCTGGCGGTGAAAGGGGTTGATCTTATAGATCTGTACAGACGATGCACTTGGTTAGCAAAGGATTCCTTGTATGAGCGGTTTATGCGGCGTGGTCGTGGTTGCGGTGCTGAAAGGGGGAGATGCGGTTTGTTGTGAGAGCGATTTTATTTTGTGTGGTGGTTTTGGGCCAAATGCGTGGTAGGTTTTTCCCATAGCTGGCGGTGCAAAAAAGCTGGCGATGACGATGCCATGTGATTGCTCGGGAAGATGCGCCACCGCGCGGGATCCGTTTAAAACAGTCGGGACTTGACTCACCAAGAAGACAAAGAAACCGGACGAAAGGGTCGAAACCGAAAAGTCCAGGCAGCTGTATCTGGATAACAATTGCAATGTTGCGAATGGCGGGAGCTGTTGCGTGGTGCGGGTTGACGATGAACCTTTGGGTTGGTGTCCCGGGAGGTAAGTGTGTGGCGGGGGGGGGACTGTTTTTTATTGCGACGGCCGTGGAGGCCCCGGAGCCTGGAGGAGGGTTTCGTCTGTCTTTCTCAGGTTCTTTTTGGTACCTCTAGAGTGGAGCCGGGATGCGAGGTTGGCCACCCACAGCCCACGACTGTCAACAGCACAACCTGCCCACAAATTTTCAAAATTTTCCCTACCCGGGTGCTGCTGCGTAGAAGGTGTTCAAGTGCTGATGTAAGGCAAGGTACTTGATGGCAAGGTTCAAGCCGTCTCCATAATGATGCTCGCCCGCCAAGTACCCGTCGTACCCAGTTTCAATATCCGTCCCATTCAAACAAGTTGAAGCCTGAAGCCCAACAAACAACGGTCCGAAAAGTCAAGTCTCGAGCACAACAGGTTCCGAATTGTACCCGGTCCAACTGTCCAGGGGAGCCGTCTCCATTGATCCCACCAAAGCTCCAGAGTCCAGCCTCCAGCCCAGAGTCTGGATACCTTCTCGTTTGCCCATTCTTCAGCGTGAGGTCATGTATGGAGTACATCCCCCTCCGTCGCGGTGTCACCCCTGCAGCTCAGACACCGGAACATGCAGAGCGCAGTGGATGTCCCTCTCCCAGCAGTCCCAGGGCCATCGCTCTGCAGTGCTTCCATCGGGAAAACCTCCCAGAGGCTACGGAGCACGGATCCCAGCAGGTGGATGTGGAAGGCCTCAACTTGGAGGGTTGGCTATGGCTGGGAATTCCTCCACCATTACGAATTCGTTTTGCTGCTGTTGCCGTCTTTGCTTGCTTGCAGCTCCATCTGCCATGCATCACGATTCACCGCAGCCCACCACCACCACCACCACCAACCAGCTGTTCTCCCCATGTTCCAATTCCATATCCCATGTGCCAAATGGCCCAGTACCTGTTTGACCGTCTCTGATCTTCTTCTCTCTGTCAATCTCATGCAGGACCGTGTTGTAACTTGCTTCCGGCCACACGCCTCGCGTGCCCGTACCAGATAGGTAGTACTCCCATCACGATCACGCTGACCCATCGGTAAATTTTCCAGACCGCAACTTTACGCGTCTCTCCCAGTTCGAGGAGCACCAGTTTGGAGCCCTGGACATCAGTACTCCGTAGTCTCGCTGTCATCCTCGCCCGCCCGCCCCTCCGGTTCCATTTCCATTTCCCTTGCCCCAGCTTTCACTAGCTTTAGCCTTTTGGCGCCTGCTGTCAACTTGACGCCTAGTCGCTAGTACCCGGTGTTCTTCCAAGTTTCCCGAGACTTTGTAGACTCGGCGTTGCTTGTTGTAGTTGTGGGTGTGATGGAGACAATCAACCCTAACTGTCCGTTTCAAACGCCGCATCTCCATCAAAGAATCCAGCATTGAGAAGAACGGCAACACCCAGTAGACAGTTGCTCGACAAGCCGAACACCTCACCCTTGTTGGCAAGAGTAACGAGATCTGTCCTATCCCCCATCCAGACCGCCGTCTGTGCCTATGCCTCGCTTGCAAGAGGGCGACTTGTCTCCTCACTGAAAGGAAGAAATTCCCTCAACGCAGTGTTCCACTCGGACAGTTGCCAGAATTAGCCTGATTCTTTCCCCCATGCCATGCCATGCCACTCGTCCAAAGCATCACCCGTACGGGCGCCGGTTTAGCTTCTGTCACAAATCGCTGACTGTCGATGGCACTCTGTCCGTCACGCACCGTTCTCCCCAAACGGCCGCTCGCTTTGGACGAAAGCATGTGCCTCTCCCACACCACATCGTACATCTCACCGGCGCATGATCACGGCACTGCTCTCTCCCGCCTACTGCGTAGAATCCCCCTCCAAGTCCCAAGTTGTCTCTGGGCTGCCTCCCGTTAAACATCCACTCGGGATGCCTCTAGGGGTCCCCAAGCCTCTTGACGAGCCGCAGTCCCGAAGTCGAAATGTAAACTCCCACGTAAGCCCAAGAGTCTCAAGAAAAAACAATACAATTGTGGCGCTGAGCCTTGGGTGACGTATGCGGGGCATTCTCTCTCTTGTGAGCCAATTGTATTCTATCCCATTCTTCTCTCCTTTTTTTCCACATTGCATTCCATCCCCAGCATCTCCCGTTTAGTCATTCTGCCCAGATTTGCTGGCTTGTAATTGGCCGCACTTGATTGGCTTTCCCGTCTTCTCGCCCCATACCGAGCAAGTGCGCGGCTTCACCAACACCAACAACACTAACAACGTCGTATGTACTCTGCGCCTTAGTCCAACGATCCAAAGCTGAGGATGTCGGGTCTGATAGCACGAGCCTTTCTCTTGAGCCGGTTATCCCGTACAGGCTACCCTGGCTCAAGATAGTTTCCTTCATCTTGCGTTGTCTAGTGGTCTCCAAGCCATTGAGAGTAGCAGGAAGACGTATCGTATCTGAACGCGTCGGTAGGTATCTAGACTAGAAGAAGAAAGGACAGACAAAAAAGACCTCATACAGTTGCTTCTATTCAGGAGGTGGGTATAATGTTACAACATGGGGTGCTGTACAGATATGGTTACAGATCTGACCGGAAGGTTTCCCCTTTCTACGGTCTCTATGGTACAAACCGATCGGGCATGGCTCACTCAGAACCAATGTCCATCTCGTGAATCTTCCAGGTGCCGTCCACCCACGCGCGCTTCTCGCCCAAGAAGGCGACACTCTCCTCCTCCTTGGCGAGGGCGTCGACAATGTACTTTTGCGCCACCTCGCGCACCTGGTCCTTGGAGACGTCGAGCAGCTGCTCGCGGCGCGTCTGCTTCATCTCCTCCGTGATGCCGGACGTGAACCGGCCCATACCCTCCGAGTTGACCGACTGGGGCGCGTCGACGCCCTGGAACACGGAGATCTTGGCCTCCTCGAGGTCGCGGTCCGCCCACGCCTTGTCCGCGGCCCACCGGCCGGCATTGCGCATGATGGAGAGCGTGTTCTGCGGGTTGGGGTCGCGGTACGAGTAGAACCCAAAGAGGCCGTCCAGTCCCCTCGAGTACGCCCCGCCGCCGTAGGCGCCGCCCTTTTCGCGGATCTCGTGGTGGAGGTGCTTGTGCGTGAGGAGCTGCGCCAGGATCTGCAGCGGCGCGCCGTCGGCAGACGTGTACGAGACGGTGGGCACCGCCAGCGAACCGTAATAGACCTGGTACGGCAGCGGGAAGAAGGACTTGATGTTCTTCTGCAGCGTCGCCGGCTGGGAGGTCGACGGCAGGGGCAGGTCCTTGGGGAGGGTCGACATGAAGCTAGTCAGGGCGTTGAGGTTGGCGCCCGTGCTCTCTGCCCCGCAAGTGAGTGCGGTGCGGAAGTTACCACCGGCGAGCGCGATTTTCTGGATCTGCTTGAGCTTGTCAATGACGTCCGCCAGACCATCCGTTTCGGGACGATTGGCAAGCGACGTGACGAGCTTGACCTGCGAGAGGCCGCCAATCTGCTGTCTGAACCAGGCGTTCCGCGTGAGCCCGGCTTCCGCGAACCCGCGGGCGTACTGGTGACCCGATGAGGCAATGTCATTGACCACGCCGTCGGCAGATGCCTGGAGCAGCTGTCTGATGCGCAGGGCGGCCTCCGGGCTGTCGAAGTCCGTGTCTTGCACGAGCTTGCGGAGAATGTCAAACATGACGGGGACGTTTCTGTCCAGCGCCATGCCCGTAAACATCAGCCCCTCGCTCGCTTGGTGGAAGTCGGTGGGCGAGGGCGTTGAATGGTATCCAACAGACACGCCTCCCGTCTTGAGCTTGATCAGGTCCTCGAGCTGCTCCGTGGACATGTCCTTGGTGCCGAGGCGCATGATGCTGTCGGAGAAGAGGGGGATCAACTCTCTCAGCTCATCCGGCAGGTTGTCCAGGCTGTTGATGGCTCTGAAGTAGGTGAGACCGTTGGTCGGGGCCTCGCGCCACTGGATCTTGACGCCGTTGGCCGTCTCGTCGCGGACAACCACGGGCTCCTTGCTGCGGGGGATGTCCTTGACGTGAACCGTCGGCAGACAGCTCAGGTCTTCCGTGTTGGACTTGCCCTGCTCGACGAGGAGGTCCAGCTCGCGCTGCTCAAACTTTTTGCGGGCCGCCTCGTCGCCGCCGGCTTCCTCAGACGCCTGCTTAATCTTGGATGCCAGCCTCTCCTTCTCCTCACGCGCGAGGTCTTCGCTAAAGGTGGTTGACGGCGACATGGTGAAGGACAGAGTGTTGTCGTTCAGCAGGTACTTGTCAATCAGGCTTTCCAGGTACCCGCCCTTGGCGAGCGCAGTCTCAAAGGCTGAAATGGTGTCGTTCCACGCCAGTGAGTCAAAGGGATCGACGCCCGTGAACCACTTGGGCTTGAGTCTGTGGAGCATCGACATGCCAAAGTTGGCCGTCTTGTGCTTCAGCGCCAGCTCCAGCTGGTGGAGGGATCCATCAATCTTTGTTCTGTCGAACCCCTTTTGCCGGACCTCCTGGAGGATGCGCTGGACCTCGGCCTTGAGCTTGGGCACGTCGGCCTCCTGGACGCCGGTCAACCCTATGGAGAAGATGCCCAGCTTGGCGGAGCTGTCGTAGCCGGCGTTGGGGCTGAAGTCTGTCCCGAGACCGGCCTCGATCAGTCCGCGGTACAATGGAGACCCGTAGCCGTCCATCAACAGAGTAGAGAGCAGCGCCAGAGAAAAGGACTCAACAACGTCGGACGAGTCTCCCATGATCCACGAGACGGACGTCTTGTACTGCCTGTCGGGGTCCACCAGAGGGTCGAGAGGGCCCTTCACGGTGACTTCCCTAGGCCCAGAGGCCAGGTTGATCGGCTGGTGAATCGTCCTGTCCTCCTGTATCCTCTCGAACGCGCTGAGCTGGGCGTTGACCTCTTGCAGGTGGTCCGACAGGGGCATGTCTCCGTACGTAAAGAGCTTCGCGTTGCTCGGGTGGTAGTGCTCCGCGTGGAACTTGCGCAGCTGCTCGTACGTCAGGTTGGTGATCTTTTGCGGGTCGCCGCCAGAGTTGTTGATGTCGGGGAAGATGTGGTCCTGGAAGCGAATGTAGAACAGGTAACCGGCGTCCGACATCTGGCCCTTCATTTCGTTGTAGACGACGCCCTTGAAGACGAGGTCGCTCTCCTCGCCGTTGGCGGCCTGCGGGTTCTCCGGCCCAATGCGCCATCCCTCCTGGGTGTAGTCGGACTCCTTGAGCAGAGGATGCAGCGTCGCGTCCATGTACACCGACATGAGGTTCTTGAAGTCCTGGGAGTTGGTCGTCGCAAACGGGTAAAAGGTGTGGTCCGATGCCGTGAAGGCGTTCATGAAGTTGGACAGCGTCCTCGGCAGCATCTTGAAGAAGGGATCGCGGATGGGATATCTAGACGGTCAGCAGGGTACGGCTTCTAGGTCACAGATAAACACACCTCTGGCTACCGCACAGCGTGGTGTGCTCCAGGATATGGGGCACACCCGTGTCGTCGGGAGGATTCGTCTTGAAGCCGATGGAGAAGACATTGTTGCTGTCGTCGCGGGCAATGTGTAGGTAGTCTGCGCCGGTCTTGTCGTGCTGCAGGTGAAGAGCAGTCAGTTCCAGCTCCGGCACGTGCTTCGTCCTCAGGAGTGTGAAGCCATGGAGCTTGTCGCCGGGCTTGGGGTACTGAGAGAGCTCGGTCACGGCTTTCTTGGCCGTGTTGACGGCGTTGCGCAACATGATGGCGGGATGTGGTTGTTTGCAGAGGATCAGGGCCTCATTCCAGAGGGAGAAGAAGACGGGAGCTTCGTTCTAAGAATGACTGAACGGCCTACGGTCGAGGAGCCACTGTGGAGCGGGAGGCGATTCGCAGCTTTCGGCTGGCTTCTGGCTGGAAATTTTTAGGCGTGGTCGGCGCTCGTCCGCCGCTATTCGTCATCACACAGGGCATGTGGGGTCCGTATTCACCAAAACGCTCTCTGAGGCACTACCGGGTCAGTGGGCCTGGGCATGCGTAACGCATTAACGAGCAGCTAACACGGTGCAACCGACAACAGCGACGCCGCCCGGTAGATTGGCACGCCGTCCGCTAGGCAAGTACCTCCATCGCCCTTTCTCCAGGTGCACTTTATTCTCCTCCCTTCCACGCCCGCCAACGGAAATTGGGAAATCGCGAATTCCAAAAGGCGACCAGTGGGATCGTGGGCAATTCATTTTCTTACTGCGTACTCTATCCAATATATCGGCATCCGGATTGATTATTCGTACCTGGACCGCAGAGCTCCCCCGGCCCGGAACCAAGGTACTCGACGGGTAGGCACGAACGAGGCCTGCAGCAAGTCTCTCCTCCACCCGTTTTTCTCGAGTACAGTGGCATTTCTGATGCGCACGCCTGAACCACGCAGACACCACGCTACCTACCTCACCCTAAGGCACCTCACCCTAGCCCGTCGTTCCGTCCAACGTCGAAAATCTGCAAAGGAGGTCCATGAAGGGGAAAGCGACGAGAGCACACGACCCGACTGCTGGCTCCGAATATTACGGTTGAGACTGCCGCGGGGAAATCAGGGACTCGACTCGACGCCCACGACGACTCGATTTTGCGACACCGACCCGCTCGATCGATCGAACACGGATGCGAATTCGTCGCCGACGACAAGAAGGAACGAACACGCACACGCACACACATTCACTACCCCTCTTGCCCGCCGAGTAAATGCCCCTCAGCCAGGCCGACGCCGACATGTCCAACGGTCAAGATGGTCACGCCCACCCGCCGGCGGCGTCTCTGAAAAAGGGAAAGCAGAAGAAGGCGGTCGACTCGAACGAGTCTGCAAAGTTGCTCGCGCAACGCATCTCGCAGCTAGAGCAAGAATCAGCTGGAGAGAAGGATCAGGAAGCTGAGATTGGTGCGTACCGCCTCCCATCGTGCCTTACCCCTCCTGGAGGCCGGAGGGGCCGAGTCGCGCGTTTGCTCAAGCCTGCGAAGGTCATGGTCACAATGATCACGGCCACGGTCACGATCATGATCAGGCGCAGGCGGGGGGCTCTCGTGCTGGCGGTTCGTGGAGTTACATTTCTACGGTGGCGGGGCTAACGGCAACAGAGCGCGAGGTCAAGCGTGCGAACCGCGATCTGGCCCAACAGGTGGCAAAGATGAGCGATCTGCAAAAGATTGAGCACCTCACCCGCCGGTCCAGCGAACTGCTAGCCGACATGCGCCGTGTGGAGCGCGAGAACCAGAAGAACAAGAAACGCGGAGACGCCCTGCAAAAGGAAAAGGATGCGAATCGCACCGAGCTCAGCAAGACGGTCGGCCTGAAGGAGAAGCTCGAGAAGCTCTGTCGCGAACTGCAGCGGGATAACAACAAGTACAAGGTTTGCGGCCCGTCATCAGCGTACGGGGCACGGCTGACCTTGTGTGTCTAGAACGAGAACAAGACCCTCCAGGACAATCTGAAGCATAACAGCTCTGCGTACGACGAGAAGCATGCGGCCCTGCTTGCCAAGCTGGAGGGGATCCAAGAAGAAAAGGACCATCCGCGGAAGCAGGTTGTGGACATGAGCGTCGACACCTTGTATGTTACCTGCCGTCATTGCTGCGCTGGACTAACCCCCTGTAGATTCAAGAACCGGTTCAAGTCCTTCATTGAGCAGTACGAGTTGCGTGAGCTACACTTCCACTCCACGATGCGCACCAAGGAGCTGGAGGTGCAATACAACATGGCGCGCTACGAACGAGAGAAGAAGCTCGCAGAGGCCGAGTCGACGAGAGCGCGGAATCTCCAGGCGCAAGTCCAGACCTTTACCAAGACGGAGACGGAGCTTCGGAATCAACTCAACGTCTACGTTGACAAGTTCAAGCAGGTATGATGACTGACACACACGCTGGTTGCAGAGGTTTGGGCTGAGCTTTTGCTGACAGATCAAGGTTGAGGACACGCTCAACAACAGCAACGACCTCTTTCTCACGTTCCGGAAGGAAATGGAGGACATGTCCAAGAAGACGAAGCGGCTGGAGAAGGAGAACGAGACGATGAAGCGCAAGCACGAGGCGACGAATGCCAACATCATCCGCATGGCCGAGGAGCGCGAGGACTGGCGCAAGAAGGCTGCCGAGGCGATCAAGAGAGCCGAGAAGCTTAGGAGCATTATCGAGCAGATGCAGCAGCAGGGCCGCAAGGTTCCGCCCGGAGCGGCGGCGACGCTGGAAAGTTGCTACTCGGACAGCAACGGCCACATGGACGGGGACGGCAGCGACTACTCGGACGAGGAGGAGGAGGGTGAGGAGGATCCGAGCGAGTTCGACGATGATACGGAGGAGGAGCCCCAACCTGGAGAGCCAGAACCCCCCCGACCCTACGGTCCAGAGAGACCACCAGTACCCCAAGCTGCAACGAACGGCCACTAGGAATCCGGACAGAGCGTTCCGGGGGCTACACCGGTTGGGCCTGCGTTCGATGCTCAGTCCACCAGCGAGACGGCCGCCATCTTGCCCATGTGGCATCACAAGAAGAAGCACGTGTCCCTCAAGCAGAAGACTGGCCGTGTTCTTTCACGTGTCGGGCAGTTTTGCCAGGCAAAGATGAATGCGCTGTTGTCGGTCTTTTCTTAGGACCTTTGTGCTCTGCATTCTTGGCCTCGCACTCATTGATGTCTCTCAATGGGTTTGGCTGGCATGAGGGGGCATGGCCGTCATGATTTCTACGAGCAAACAAGCACAGGGGTCGAGATGATGATGGTCCTTGGCAAGCTCTGTCTAGATTAGCAGCGTTCGGCGTCTGTAGTGGTTTGGAATACAATCAAATCTCCACGTGCTTTCTTTTGTTTAGCAGAGTTTACCGAGTCTCCGGGGGGGGGACTGTACCCCAAAGTCACACGTTGCGAGGCCCAAAGTTTATAAATGACGATGCATTCCCGATACCTGGAAGGGGTGACGTCGATCTCCAGGGGTCTCGCCAGAGGCTAAGCCACAGTTGGTCAGCAACCTGGCGGGAGGTCTGCAATTTCCCCGGATCCACAAAGTCAATCCCACCCAACCTCCAAAGCAGAGGTGCCTTATCCATTGGGAGAGTGTGCGATAAGGGGCCACCAGCCACAGACAGTGCCGACGCACATGCTATGGACCTTGACAATCCGAAAGTCCAGGTCGACTGCACTGCACTGGGCTCGCATCAGCACCCGCACCCGCACTGCGCGCCCGCACCCGCAGCTGCAGCGAACCCCAAGGGCCCCCAAGGGAGTGCCACCCTGACTACCTGCGCCAGCGCCCGCCTGCTGCAACCAGCGGAATGTTGAGCCCAACTTTTGACAGCTGAGGTGAGGCTGCCTTTTGTTTCCGGCGCACTTGAAACCAACCGTTACTCGCCCAATCCACGTCCCATGGCTCCCTTCGCCTCTGGACTTTTCTTCACCTGAATTTCCATCACCAGCACTTCGATAACGAGGGCCTCGACGTTTGCCCTTTGCTTGCACCCCAGGTCGAGGCCGCGCCGATCGTTTAAAAAAACATCCAACTCCACCTTTCTTCCCTTTGGTTCCCTTCTTGATGCCCGCGACGTCATCCCTCGATACCCTGCAGCAGCCATCACCAACATGGCCTTCTTGGAGGACCCGCGGCTGCGCCAGCGATGGAACCAAATCTCCCACAACGCCGGCGAGGTGACGGAGAACGCCGCCGCCGGCATCTGGAGCTTCCAGCACCACTACATTAACCCGTGTCTCGCCTCTCTCGCCGCCTCCCTGGAGCAATGCGCCAACCCGTGCCTCGGCGACCGCGAAGAGCGGGCGAGGAGGCGACGGGAACGAGATCGTGCGGGCGGGAGGGCGGAATACAGCTTCGACTTCTACGACGACTGGTACGCCGAGGACCAGGACGGCGGGTTCCTGGGCGGCTGGGGCAACGACGACTGGGACCGCCTGCTCGCGGGCACGGGGTCGCAGCAGAAGAATAACACGGGGGGTGGTGATGTGCAGCAGGATCAGCCCAAGAGAAAACGCGGCATGAGCTACGGCACGCGAGGCAGAGGGAGCAAGGCGCTCGAGTCCGATCCGACGGTGATCCCCAGCACGCAGCCCATTGGGTTCCTGGGCAAGCTGCCGTGGAAGCTGGGCAAGACGCTCCGCTACAAGCCGAGCGCGGCGGACTTGCAGGATCACCCGCGGCAGCACGGCGAGATGGGCATGGGCGAGACGGAGCCGCTGCTCACGCACGATTCTGACGACGGTGACGATAACGACGGTGACGACGTCTTCCAGAGCAGGACCGCCAAGACTAGAAATCGCAGCGGGACGACGGGGTCCGGGGTGTCGTCGGATTCATATCGATCACGGGGCGACCTGTTCCCCAGCGACGGCGAGGGCGAGGAGGACGCCGTGCCGTTTGACGACGAGTTCATGGTCCTGGACAAGGTCCGGGACGACCGCAGCAGCAGCAGGACAAAGGCGAGCAAGGGCAAGCGGCGGGCCGACGGACGGCCCATGTCGCGGACGGTGTCGAGAGCGACGATCGATTCCAGTCATTCCATGCTTAGTCCCAGCGTGCGGCGAAGCTCGACGAGCGGGCCCACGACGCCGGATACGCCCGTTGCGCCGTCCATGGAGGCCTCGATGGCAGAGCTGCAGAGGGAAGAGGAGCGCATAAGGAGAGAGGAGGACGACGAGGTCGAACGTAAGCGGCAGGCGGCGCTGCAGCTTGCGTCGGAACGGGGGCTGCACGATGCCGGCGAGGATCTAATGTCCGAGGAGCCGGCGTCCGAGGCGGAGTACGCCAAAGCCGATGAGGTAGACTACGTGTCAGACTCTCCGAGTCAAAGATCGCCGCCGAGGTCTGCTACGCACAACGACGACGCGCCCGTCATTCGGTCCACCACGCAAGAGCAGTACATACGGACTGAAGAATTCGTCCCGGCACGTCTACCGAGCTTTCGATAGACCAGAGTGCCCAGGGGACGCGTACCACGTGGGTTTTATTGTATACTAGTTGGGCAACGCCAACGATAATCATGTCATAACGATACCAATGCAGGGAGATGAGGACGGCATTTCAATAGAAGCGGTGCATGGCGCGGCGCTCCTCAGTTTGACTTTCTGAATACCTGGTGCCGTGATGTAGTGACTTGGCAGCTCCTGTGAGGACCTGTTGTCCATGACGGAACGACGGTCGGACGGGGGACGGGGCAGGGAATGGCCGACTCACATGCCGCTGTGGTTGCCCGTTTCAGGCCGCTCCGGAGCTTGGGGGTCGGGGTCACGGGCGAGCTGCTGTCCCAACAAGGCAATTGCCTCGGTGTGAATTCCCCGCAAAGAGCCCCCCCCCCCCCAATCGCCTCCAACCCCACACTCTTCACCCCGGATTTACCTAGGTGCTTCGGCACGACTCCTCGATGACTAGCTCCAAGCGTGTCACTAAGTTCCCTTTTATTCCCAACCTCTTGGCCTTTTGTTGCATTCTTTTGGATTGTACATCACCATACGCTTCTTCTGTCCATTGTCACACATTCTAGAAACAAGATCAAGCACCACCAGCACAAAGTCCTCGCCAAGACCAGTGTAAGACAACAGACAACAGACAAGATGGCACCCTCCGGCCCCATCACAACACCCATAACCCAGCTCCTGGGCATCCAGCACCCGATCCTCCTCGCCGGCATGGCCCGCACCTCGGGCGGTCCCTTGGCGGCAGCCGTCTCCAACGCCGGGGGGCTAGGCGTCATCGGCGGGTTCCAGTACACCCCCGACCAGCTCCGCGAGATCATTGCGGAAATGAAGGCGAATTTCAAGTCCCCGGATCTCCCCTTTGGCGTCGACCTCGCGCTGCCGCAGGTCGGCGGGAACGCGCGCAAGACGAACCACGATTACACGGGCGGCAAGCTCGACGAGCTCATCGACATTACCATCGCCTCTGGCGCGAGGCTGTTTGTTAGCGCGGTGGGGGTGCCACCGAAGGAGGTGATTGAGAGGTTGCACAAGGCGGGGATCTATGTTATGAATATGGTCGGGCATCCCAAGCATGCTGTGAAGGCGCTGGATCTGGGTGTGGATATTATTTGTGCGCAGGGCGGGGAGGGGGGCGGACACACGGGGGACGTGGCGAATTCGGTGCTTATCCCGGCGGTGGTGGACGTCGCGAGGCGGTACAAGCCTCCGATGTTGAAGGGGTCTACTGCGTTGGTGATCGCCGCGGGCGGGATGTATAACGGCCGGAGCCTCGCGAGTTCGCTGATGCAGGGGGCTGTCGGCGTGTGGGTTGGCACGCGGTTCGTGGCGAGTGTCGAGGCTGGGTGTAGCCAGGAGCACAAAGAAGAGGTGGTGTCGTGCGGGTTTGAGGGGACGGAGAGGACGTTGGTGATTAGCGGGCGGCCGTTGCGGATGAAGACGAATGAGTACATTAGGGGGTGGCATGCGCGGCCGGAGGAGATTAAGAGGTTGACGGAAGGCGGAACGGTGCCGATTGAGCATGATTTCGAGCAGGGAAGGGAGGATATTGAGATTCCGCATCTGATGGGGCAGGTTGCGGGCGCGATTGAGAGGATTCAGCCGGCGGGGGAGATTGTGGAGGAGATGGTCAAGGAGGCGGCTGAGCAGTTGCGGCTGGGGGAGGTTTATCTGGGGGGACGGAGTAAGCTTTGAAGCTTTGTAGGATGATGTACGAATTGTTAAATAAGGAGGTTGGCTACATGTAAATGGGTATTATGATGTCGTGTCGATAGATCATTATGCTTCGTCTTCCTCCGTCTTCGTCTCTGCCTCTGCGAAGTTTAGATAAACTCCCCCACACGAATCTGCGTGTGCCCCCACCCCTCGGCCAACTCTCTCACCTCCTCTCCCATCCTCTCCGCCTCCTCCTTGGAGTACCCAAGCCTCAGCTGAACCTCCTCGGGCGTACACAACTCCCGGATCTCAGGAAGCGGCGCTGGAATCCTGCCGCCTGTCCTCGTCCCGCTCAGCACCAGCGTCAACGTCTCCAGCCCAGCCCGGTACCGACACTTCAGCCACGACCCCGGGTTCCGGAACGGCTCCTCGCACACGACAATGACATGCCTCGCCCCGCGAACAGGGAACCCGCCGCCGCCCTTGCCCTCTACGACGGCGATGCTGTCCCTTAAGAAGTCAATATAGATCCGCCTGTCGCCCCAGGTGTTCAGCCGGACGAGGGTATACCGCCGCAGGGCCTCGTACCGCGCCTCACGGTTGACTGCCAGCAAAGCCGGGTTCGGCGCGTGTGTTGCGAGCAAGGTCCGCGGCGTGTCGCAGGCGTGCTGCCAGATTTTGAGGCGGAGCTCGGCTGGGAGCCGGGAGAAAGGGTGAAAAGTATGTTCCGGCCCGCGGACCTGGAGGCGCAGGCCCTCAAGGTGTTTGGAGAGGCTCGCGGTTGTGCGATGCGCTTCGGTGGTGAGGACCGAGGTTATTGTCTGGGTGAAGTGGGCGAGGAAGACGAAGGGGAGGAAGGGGAGGGGCATTTCGCAGGTGGGACGGCTTATTGCCTCCCTCTTGAGCTTTTGGGCGAGGGACATGGTGGGAGTGCGGGTTTGCCGTGAAGTTGGTATTTGTATGTTGGAATAGGGGCTCCGATGTTTCTGACCTCCTATTTTCGTATGTGATTCTCGCGGCGAGTCGTCAGCGTGAAAAGGGGGCGGGCCTACTCCTTAAGACTCTTCAGTCCGGCAGATCGAAATTTGGATGGCTAGCGGGAATGTCGACGGGCGGGTAGAGAGATCGCCGACCTTGTCTGGAAAGCGATTCGATGGCTTTGTTTGATGAACCCGGGGCTGCGGTGCTGCCGGCGCGGAATCAAGCCACGAAGAGGGATAGCCAAACGGCGATACGCTGCCTTGGCGGGTTCCGGTCTAGATTTGGGCACCCGGTCGTCGTCTTTCCGCGGAAACTATGGGAGCGAGTGGCTGGTGGGCTCGTTCTTTGAATCAAGTATGTCCAGACGAAGTTAGTGCCGGAGGCTGGTGGGCGTCCTTTTCTTTGTTCTGGTGGAGAGGGTCACTGGATGGGCGGCAGAGATTTTGCAATCGTTGGTCGATGGATGAGGCGCACGCTGGCGAGCGATACCGAGGTGATGAGTTCTATTTGTATTCTCAGTTGACGAGCTGGTGCTACCGTGTCTCGGATGGGTTGCATGGATTGATCTGATCTGGGCACTTATACGGCGAGGCGCGGAAGGCTTGGTTACACGTCAACTCACGCCATCACTGTGGCGTTCTCGATGTCTGCTCCGATGTATGGGAGTTCCGTACTTCGCATGCGTCCGGCATGAAAGGTCCGCAGCAAAACCGCCGCCATCCTGAAGAACTCCTGCGTGGCAACCCTGTATTCGATGACCACCATGGGCTTGTGGGTGAGGTGGAGAGGTTCGCTTGCCTGGAAACTAGAGGCCACGCCAAAGGAACGTCACACTGTCTTAGACATTCCTGTCTCGTCGTTGCACCTGACAGTATTTCGGTGGTTGGCAGGCTGGGAACGTAAGCCCCAGGGAGCGGTTCAAACGGCCTGTATCTGAGCCACCCGAGACAGGGCCAGCATCATCGGCATTCCAGTCCGACGACACATGGCGATTCCAAAGCTTGGCTGTTCAAGACATGTGTGCCGGGGTGCATTTTCGATTTGATGCTACGAAGCATGTGAAGGCGTGGATTTCCAAGGCGAGATTGGGCCGTGGGACTTTGCCAGTGTGGGAAAAGGGGCAGATGTGCTTGGAGGTGACTGAAAAGCCTCTCGAATACATCAGTGAAGACGGATGTGTTCCTCATCTTCCGTCAGATCGCAGAATGCTCGACTGGGTGGTCCACCGGCCGAGGCTGTCTGGACGCACCGCACTTCTTCAACTTCTTTCATAGTCGAGATTCCTGTGGCCTGCCTAGAAACTGATTTCCAAATGATGACGACCAAATCAGACGCCTGTGATTCAAGTTTGGTTTGGACTCTGGATATGCCCTCGAAGATTAGCGAGAACGAGACGCAGAACAGGGGCCGCAGGATTGTACGCACATAAGCCCCCAAAAGCTGTGCTATCTTTGACCGTTCTAGTGGACTGCTTCCTCCGTCCGAAGTTGATTTTCTTGTAGCGTTTTGGGCTCTCGGAACGATCTGTGCGAAAGATCCAGCTGCAAGAGGTTCGGCTGAGGCTCCTATATAGGTCCCACGAGAATTGCATCGACTGCTCGAATCCCTTTCTCCATAGTCTCTGTTGTCGAGGAGTTTGAGGACGTCTTGTTTTCCTTGTTGACGAGGGATCGGTCTACTACCATCTCCTGAAGATCTATGTTGTGTCCGTTGATTGAAGGGCCGAAGTCTTCGCGGTATCACCGCTCGGCTCTGCTTGACCATGTTTCTGGCTTATTCGCGAGGAGAATAGCCGAAGGACGCCAGGGAATCCAAAGTGATTTTGTCTTGTGATGGCGAAGATCCTCAAGACTTCCTTGCCGAGAGATGGGCCCTAAGAATCTCTAGACATTGTGACGACCATGGTTACCAAGCACATGCGGTGTCTCTTAACAACAGACGTTGGTAATCTTGGCTTGTAGAGGAAACGTTCGCGTTTGGCCCTGGCAACCGAAGTAGACACGATCATAGGAGACGGGCATCCGCCATTGAAAAGGGGCCAAGAGTGACTCGTTCCTTCCCTCTGTCTACGTCCCTCCTTCCTCTTCAATACGCAGCCAAGCCCTCTCGCTTATAAAATCAACCGGCGGCATCGGACTCTCTTCCATCTTTCCTCTCCGCCACAGAGAATATTCAGCGATCC